TAGCTGAACTGTTTGGTCCTATGAAATGGTTGCCCAATTAGGGACAGAAATGCACATGCAATAAATCGTTAGGGAAATATAGGATCTCAGTTTCATGGATATTATTCTACATCTAGTGTAGTCAACATTATAATATAAGTTTAATAATATTTACGACAAAGGTTTCCTTTCCTTTTACCACTAAAAATAAAGTGTAAAATAGTATATTACACAAAAAAATCTAATTTTCGCTTCATATCCCTCTATCAACCAGTTCACAAATGCCAAGCCACATTATCTACAACCCATTTCACTGCAAAATCGATCCTCGGGGACAGAAACTTTAAAGCCACTTACCGCCGGCGTTTGATTGTCGATAAGCGTAAAAGCTTCAAGTGTCGACCACTTCAGCTCGACTGCATACCCTCGTCTAGACAGCTGATATTAGATACCTCCCAAGCCCTCCCGGGACTCGCAACAGGCTTCACTAAGCCTCCGACTGATGGCAGAGTGCCAAGAACTCTCGCCAATAAGATATAACTGTCTGTGACATATTTTCGGGAAGACAACGTTTTTAGTTCTGTCTAGTTTCCTTATAGCAAAAAATCTGGGCCTAAAAAGAAATAGAAGTACCCAGTAAATACAACTTCAATGTAGTTACTTGGATGAGAGCCAAAAAACTGCTTTATTGAAATCCCTTGTTGAACTGACAGCTAAGCAAAAATGTTTTACATTCCTTAAAACTTAAAAAATACTCGTATTCACAATATACTATCATCAGAAAATATTCGCAGAAAAACTGATTTAATAACGCAAAAATTTGTTCTAAATTGTCACATCTAAGTAAAAAACTAAAACGTGGCTGAGCAGGACAAACCACGCAGCTATTTTCTAGAACAAAGAATTCTTCCAGCCTTTAGCACCGGGTCTTTGTTCTACCTCCTCCAGCCAATCCCTGACAAGTATCTGCGGAAACAAAAATAAAGAAAGAAGACTGTTCCGCAAGTTTAAACTTTAAAGTGGTATTTACAGGGCTCGAGTTTAATTGCGCGCGCTGGAAACTTAGCGAACTGCACACAACGATGAAACTCATTTGCGCACTGTGCTAAAATTGCTTGCGTTCTAATTAACGGGTTGATAAGTTTGCTTTGAGTAGCGATCCTGCTTGCTTGGGTTTTCTATGTCCGCCCAAAGGTTTAATTGCGGTGATTATTTTTAATTAGGCTTACTAAAACTTTATTACGTTTTTAATAACAAGCACTTGGAACCACTCTTTATTATCTGTGTTTGATGTCTTAGAGAAATTATATTTACAAAATAAATGAATATTTCTACTGATTGAATTATTATTACCCACAACCTACTATAATTATTCATTAATCACTGATGCCGATAATATGAGATCACACGAAACCTAACTTTGCCACGCAAACAGTTAATGTTTTGTGTTATATTGTAACTTCTACATTATTTGCCGCCCTGGTAAGCCGCCGCAATAATCAGGCATATTCTAAACAGAGTTTCTATATAAGAAAAGCATTACAATGGTTTCTGTACAGTGCAGCATGTACTTACGTCCACATGTAACTAGTTCGTTTCCTATTGTGTGCTGAACAATCCTATTGTCACAGGACTAACAAGCTACTGTTGAAGTACAGATCCAATTTTCCAATATGCAAAGTTAGTTGAAAATCCAATTTTGGATTTATTGAAATGTCGAGTGTGTGCTGAATACCGTGCATAACTGGGTCACGTCATGTTGTACTGAATTCAAGTACGTCATGTCAATCTGCATTCAATCCGCTTCGCAGATTTGATTATTTTTTTGACGATAGAACTATATTTTTCCTCTGCAAAACAAAGAGTGCAATTACGTTCCTGTTTGGTTGAGGGTCTCTCTGTGTTGTTGAGGCTAAACCTATTTTCAGTTGTTGTTATTTAACATAGCAATGCGTCTGTCATTCCCTAAAGAGATAGACATTTTTACAGTACTTCCATAATATTTCGTATTGATGTTCGGCGGTCAAGAGTTCATACTTTAAGTAAGTTGTAATTCTTAAAGATTTTGACCCAAAACTTTATGATTTATAGAAATTAAACAACTATATATTTGTTTCTTCTCCAACTGCAAACTTAACTTAGAACTGTATTTTTCATTGAAAACCTCATGATAGTCCTAGTTAACTGGCTAATTGGAAGCAACTTGTCAATTGCACTGAAGGGTTTTTGTTCATAAACAACACAACTTGCTCCGAGGTTTGTTTGTTTGCCAATTATGCCCATCGGAAAGTGTACTTAGGTTAGTAGATTTTTAACTTTATTGCAACGGTAAAGGGTTGAATGTTTATTACCTACAATTGAACAAATTGTGCTGGAAGGTACATACACTAGAAATTACTACATTCACAGCGAAATACTCGTTGCAAATGTGTATTCAGGAACACCAATCATTTTGAAATTACAGGGAATTATCGGTATAGAGTATTAAAATAATAACGCTGTATCTAGATGCATAGATTTGAAATTAGTTTGTATTCATGCAGTTGAGCTATTGAACCGAATTGAATTGCTTTTCAATTAGTACTGTATTGAACATTGATTATTCAATTTATGATATCCTAGTAACATCAGAGGAATATAATTATTTATTGAATCATTTGATTAGGTACTTGACTAGTTATGATGCATAATATTTATATTTATTTAATAACTACAGTTGATGAGATTTGTAAGTATCTTTATACAGGTGTAAACGCACGCTCCCGAAACGCTGACACAAATAAATTGTTCTTACAATTTTAATAGTCTTTGTTTTCGTGTTTTCATGCAACATCAGCCTTGAGCGGTAGATTTTAGCTATTCTTACGCACAAGAAACATTTAATACCTAACTTTTATGTAAATAAAACTTGTTTTTATAATAACTATCGTCAGACATACTAAATTAACTAAAATTGCGGGTTACTTACGTGAATATACTGAGAAAAGCTCTACAGGTTTCGAACCACAGAGAGGTTCATCCTCATGAGCAGCGTGCGCGGTCGCGGCGACCGCGCTTACTAGTAGAGCTTTTCTCAGTATATTCACGTGAGTAACCCATTTTAGTTAAATAAAACTTGTTTTCTACTATTAGCTAGCAGCGGTTTTTGGCAACATTCCGTTTCCACCCCGTATGTTAATCTATCTGTAGTCCAATCTCTGATTTACCTTAAGCACGTGCTGGTTCAATCCACTGCTGGACCATGTGCTGGTCAAAATAATCTCCAAGCTTGGCAGGCAGTTGGAGATCAGTTATCAGAAAATGCTAAAATCTCTTAGTCGTCCGTGAGATGAGATGATTAGACACCCATGTGAGGAGCAGGGGAGGTGATAAATATATTTAAGTCCACCTTCACTATATAGGGCATTTACATACTACCTAATGGCTGCAGTAAAACCATTTCTGGTAACAATTTCCATAGTAGCAGCTATGATGAATAATGCTGTAGTTGGACACTGGTTGGCAGGACTCCAGGGCCTATGTCAATGATATATGACTGGCTTCATAATCGCCTGGTGACGACGACTGTGAATCAAAACTTTACTGGCCATAGTTCAAATGTTAAATCAAACTATAGACTAATATAGACAAGTACTATTATAGTCAATAGTCAGTTGCAATTTCTTATGTTCTCCTGGTAAAAAGTTCTTTTATGTGATCGCCATTTCAACAAATAATTGATGAACTTGCTTCATGTATGGACATGAACTTGTATCAGAGTAGTACCTCTATAAAATGAGAATGTATCTAATACTTGAACAAAAGTAAATACTGTTACTTCATTTTTGATCCCTTATTACATTATTACTTTACAAATTACGTGTTCAACTTCCTTAAACAAAATAAACAAGACATCGAAATGTAAATAAATAACGAGCGAAACATAAAGCCCTTTCCACCGGCGCGTGTTTATTAAAATAAAATATAGCAACGTTATGTAATTCAGCCGCTTTCAGAGTCCCTGAGAGACCTCATTCAAGGCTTTCACGCGGACATTTCAATGTGTCGTAGTTGGAACATTTGAAAACCTAGCTTTGTGCAAGTTTGTGCGACTTCATACGAGCACACATTCTAGTGCACATAATGCTAGTATTCCGAGGTACAGGGTTTCGTAAACCACTAGGTTTTGCTATAGAAATTTTGAATGAGACAAACTACCGCTTACATGTATGTAGGTCATTTGTTAGACACAGGAAACATACTTTTATCTCAAAAAATATCTTTCAAAAGCACATTGTACTTTATATTCAGTTGGCAAATCTTACTGGCCATTATATTTTCTTTTCATGTCTTTATTTCGACATGTTCAAAGTTTTCACTTCCCCGCGCACAGAGGGCGACTCCGTGAATAATTTAGTAGAGGACCTTCATTTGTGACCCGAACCACTGGAAATGTCGCTCGATGTACTTTGTACAGCGACCCGGAGATAACATCAACTTGTTTAATATTTTACGACAATTTTCGAATACATTAGCGATGTCCTCCGGCGTCATTCTCAACTTTTACGACGTGACATTGTCTTGGTTTAGATTCTTATGGGAGCGACGTTATTACTTGTACTTTGATAATTTTAATATTATCTGTTTCTGCTACTATTATATTGCTGTTCTATATTATTGTGTAAACAATGGTTATTATACTTGTATGTGAATAGGAACGGACTTGATGTTAAAGTTAAGTAGTGCATTGTATTCATACGGCAGGCGCTAGTCTAAGTTGTGTTCGTATTTAATTGAATTTCTCTCGTCAGCCGCTGCACAATGACATTGTTGCGAAGCTCACGTCAAGTTCCTTCCTCCATGTATTGCGCTATCGAATACGGCACGGCACGGGCACGGGTCGACGGTCACTCCGCCAGGCGTGCGGCTACCCGCGCCTGCGGCCACGCCACGCGCACGGCACGCGTCGCACGCGCACCGCCCCACGCTGCGCGTGCGACGCGGCGTGACCAGCGCCACTCACCCGTGCCCGTGCTTGCAGGATGCACGCGGTGGGCCTGCACTCGGCGCTCGCCATCCGCCGCGAGCGCAAGCGCCGCGCTGAGCAGCAGCGAGCTCGCGAGCGCCGCTACTCGCTACAGTCCTCAGAGTCGGGAGTCACCTCCCCACATTGCTCCACGGGCAGCTTGGAGAGACGTCGCTACAGAAAACCACACCCTACCGAAAATGAGGTCGTCTCGACGGTCGGTATGCTTCACCTGGGAGTGGTGTTCCTCGTGCTCGGCCTATTCCTGCTCGGGTCCGGCTTTCTGCCGGATAACGTAACGTCATGGAGCACAGTCGGCTCTGTCAGCTGGTTCAATGAATTGGTCTGCTCCGGCATGTTCGCGGTGGGAATTGGAGTTTTTCTGATTGTTCTGCACAAATATTTGATGAAGAGTGAGGAAGACGCCCTAGAGGATTATGTTCAGAGACAGCTGACAAGGTCCCGTTCAGGTCACCGATTAGAGAGGGACGCGGAGACTGGTGGCATGCGCACGAAAAACGCACGCCGTGCACGTGCTACTGAGGTGTTACCGGAGACAGTGACGGAAACATACACGGAGCCGCCACCAGAGCGCGCGCACGGGTTCGTCAATGCGCTAGCGATGAATGGTGACGCCATGCGCGAGCTGCCACTAGAGCAGATCGTGGAGGAGGAGATCTCGGTGGCGTCGGAGGGCGGAGGTCGGCTCGGCAAGTTCAATAAGGACACGTACTCCTCGCCGTCGGTGGCGCCCAGCCTCAGCCCCGGCTCGCCGTCTGACACGCGCGAGCTACTGTCCGACGGCCGCTACATGATCATGTCACGCATGTGAGCCACCTAAATCGACAACTCACTGATTCCGAGCTCTCCGCCTGACGTCACATAACTTAATATTTCTGCAAACAAAGATGCCCCAACCTGTGAGCACGCTACGGTGTGACTACATTACGTAACTTTGCACAATATAACATTAACAGAGAGGATACAACCCAAAGTACCGAAACCTGTAATATCTCGAGCACGCTACGCGAGCGCACACTTATATAAAGTGCTAGTCTTTCTCCAGCAGTGGAACTGTTACAGTCAGTGGCCATTTCCTCTACTTCCGCTCTTAAATCTCAGATATGGTCGGAATCAGAGAATTGTCGAAAATTGCCTCCTTCGTCTATTACACATGAAACGCGGCAAAGTGAAATGAACTCTATATCTCTCGTAATGAGATCGTATTTCTACTGTACCGCTATATTTATTAACAAGGTTTCTATGTAACTATCCTGCTATTTGGTTAAAGCTTGGATGCTTCGACGTTTCAATGGATATTTCATTTGTGTTCGGGGAACGCTTCTCTATTTTATATTTTAACAGACGGACCAACTCTTTGGTAGACTTAGCAGTAAGTTGTATTGTGAACTCGTTTAGAACTGCAGTAGTTAAATAGGAACGCGGCCGTTAATGAGATCAATGGCTCCGGTCGCGTGACTCGGAAATTTTCTTTTATTTCGACGTTTTGTTAGAAAGCGAAGAATAACAAACGTTGTAGTCGTATCGTGGAATCGTTGTTTGTTGGCAGGTCACTGTTTGTTTGTAAAGCTGAAAATACGCAGTTAGAATAAATACTAAGCATCGATACGACGTAATGGTCAAAACAATGTCATTGTCTTTTAACATCAACGAATCTGTGCGAAAGTAAACATAGTTGTGCGTTGCTTTGTTCTCCTGGTAGTTTGTATATAACACTGTAGTAGTAAACGAGTGATCTTGTATATTTAATTAAATTAACATTGGAATTCCGCATGTATTGGCTTGAGACTGATTGTTATATACTGTTCTTATACCTGACGATTTTATATAATATTGTATGTTGGTTTGTCTTCTACTCTAATTAATTATTAATTAGTTTACTGTTTAGATACGTGGGTGAGTTTGAACTAACAACTATGTTGGTTTAAATAGGTATTGGACAAAACATTTCAGATAGATAAATATAAAAAATAATTATGTATGTTATGACTGAACTGAAAAAATGAAACAGTACCTCAACTATGTAGAAGTGTTGTCAATAAAAGAGAAACAAACTACATACAAGCGGATTAAATAATAATTACTTTCTCAAAAAAAAGTATTCCTGTATGAATTAGTATAAATGCTACATAATATAACATTGTTCTTCTAACTGTGCCCGACGTATCTGAATAGTGCCTAAATATATTATTATCTAAATAATTTATAATATAAAGTAAATATCATGATATCATAAGGCACACAGTGTGCACTATTTTCTTTTCAACAGATCTGTGCCAAAAGTTTCGTGGCAATGCATATTATTACGTTCTAGTAAAGCGTTTAGGTTACCTCATGTAATAAATTATCTTAAAATCGATCTCAATATATCACTACTCCTTGTCTTCAATTAAATCTTCCATAGCTAAGAATATTTGCACTAAACTCCAATCCAATTATAAGGGTATTTTGAGATCGATTTTAACATAAACTACATCTGTGCATTTAAATTTTTGTCTAATAATTTTATATTTTTATCGTTAGGTTTATTTTATTTGGGGCTGTGAAATATTTTCCATTTTAAATCGAGATGTCAAATTATATAAATATATGTACACATTATTAAACATTGATATTAATATTAAGCTTAAACACACGAGCTTAGCTTCACAATGCTCAAATTTAAATTATTAGGTTTACACTCCTTCCCATTACTTCTCTCCTAGTATTTTCTCTTTCAATCTTCCATTAATTGTTGTGCGAATTTGATGTTCTTTAACAATTTACCTTGTAATTGTTATTAGCAAATGAAAGGGTTAGTTAAAACAATGTTGTGAATTAACAACTTTTGCAATTTCACAAGAAAATTGACAAAGAACAACAAGTTTGCGAGTTATTTCATACCTCGTAGCGGGTATCTAATATCTGTCTCTTACTGTAAGTGCTGTCTATAAAACATTGCCTTATTAAATAAATATTTCACCAATATAATTAATATTATTGTGTATTTGTAATGGCACAATTTTCGGTAATTTTTGATAAGTAGATTATAAGGTCCACTAAGAGAACACTGGGCTACGTACAGAGATGGATCTTATGGTTGTTGTAGCAAGATAAATAAATAACTGCAGACTCTTGTCTTGTGTGAATATTATGTATACGAATTTGCTGAAGTATTAAAACGGTTATTTTTCAAAAGCAACTCAAAATGTTCAACTTTCAAATAAGCATTCCACTTCAAATGTATAAAATGTCTCTTTTTATTGGAACAACAGAGCAAAGTGCAGCACGTAAAGAATTGTCAGCTTTGCAAATATCCTTCTGAATCATAAATTCGTCATAAAACGGGAACGTCTCGGAATGTTTGTGCTTAGTAGCTCGAGTGTTCTCTGTTTGGACATAAAGTCTAGTCGTGTATTTATATTCTGTCGCCTGAATGTCTAGAAAAAGCTAGCTTCGTGTTGTACTAAATAAGGGAGATAAAAGTGAATTCTAATTTTACAACTTGTGCACGTTTTCCTTTAAAATTTTGTCGTGAAGATATTGGTGACAGTATTATTTTGTAAAAATTATAAAAAGTGTTTTAAATTATTATTGTCATTAATTAGATGGAATTAAACGTTCATTAGCGCATTGTTGTAAGCAAATAAACATAGATTTTATCTTTACAGTAATGTTATGTTAAAACTCAGCGAAATGTTATTATTGTAGCGAAAGAAATATTTATCAAGTTATGTAAATCTATCACAAAGTTTATTACCGTTGCAACAATTAACATATTTATGCTACAACAATGCACTACTGAACACGTGATTTAAAAATATTTAATACTAATATAATTACTTTATCGTATACTTCATTCTGATGCACATATGATAGCGCAACATATAGTGTTTGCACACGTTAATTGTGAAAATTTCTTGTGCCTATACTTTTATATCTAGGTAATTTTGATAGGGTAATTCAAATCGAGTACTTGGCTGTAAGTATCACGTGTACATACCATGCAATCATCCCTCGCTCCGGACCACAAAGCCTTCGAAAGTGATTACAACTGTTTGTTGTAAAGCGCAAAACAAGCGCTGCCAGCGCTTCGCTAACAGCTTGAGAATCAAAAGTCAAAATATATTACATCCAAGTATTGTACATCCATCGTGATTAAAGCCTCTAGTTTATAATTTGTAGTCGTTTCGTTGTCCAAATGTTTTGATGTCGTGTTAAAGCTCAAAACATGTTAGTTGTGATTTTTTTATGCCATTTCGGTGTCGTGGAAACATTTTTTTGAACGCTTTTGCGCATTTTTTAAATAAAACTATACACTTGTAAAGCACATTAATGTATTTAATCGATTTGAATAGTTGTGGTTTGTTTCATGGACTATAGTGTCTTAGGGAATTGTGTTTAATTTATTTTTGAATTACCTATGGACCTTAAAAAAGCAATACCGACTGTCTGAATATAGTTGTCATCAAACTTTATGGTTGTTCGGTACATGATGTCTTTATGTAGTACACGTGCCAGTTTGAAGAGATTAATCAAATTGGTTTACGGAATGGTCAATTACTTTGATGACAACTGTAGTTCCTTAGAGATTTTTAAACATTTTCATATTTAAACATTATGAATACATATAACTTCGCATTTATTTACAAATCTTTACGTAATCGTTGTCATTTTAAAATCAATATTTTATTCCACTCTGAATTAACACAGATCGTTGTTTTCTCGTAAAGTGATACTAAATATAGGATATCAGAAATAGAAAATAAACACCAAAATCTTTGTAAAATTATAAATTCCTAGATTGAGAATCGAATTTTAGTCCTAAACTTTGTATAAAGAAAATTTGGATTTGTCCTAATAAATACATTTTCAATTGAAATTAGAACTATTTTCTTTTTCAATCTAGACATCTTTGATAAAATGTAATAAGAATTGTGTAAAAAAATAGTTTTCTGTAAATTGTATGAAGATTTTGTAATCAAATACATTGTGGGGTAAACAATTCATGTCATGCGACTTTATTACGAAGCAAAAATGTTGAAAATTATTAACAAGAGATACATTGATAATTTTTTATATTTTACTTTAAAATTACCTAAAGAATGGAAGTAATGGACCTGTAATATATTTGCAGTAATGCATACTTCATTAGTTATTAACTTGTAAGTTAACTTCAACTTGACTTGTTTCCCTCAGAATGAAAGCTATTTTATCTCGACTCACGAATCATTCCACGTTAGGCAAATATAATTTATTTCACTCGATTTATTATTAAATAAACTAATTATTACAAAAGGTCGCGTTTGTTATTTATTCCTTCATATATTAAGTATTCATTAATATTGTAGGCTTGTGTTTGGTACCGAAATTGACTTAATTAGATACTATCATATGATCTAAATAATGTAGTAGGTTTACTGAAACCTGAAATAGAGTCCTTTGTAATCATACTGTGTACCTACATGACTGTTGATAAAGCGATAGAGGTATATAAGAACCGTAGCGATTGGAATTCCATAGTCTAGGTCAAGTGCCTATCTCCATTCCGAGGCCATGTGTTTTCATGGCCGCGGGAACGCGCCACCTCCGGGTGGGTCCCAAATAACGGCGGGAGGGGTTACCATCGGCGTCGAGACGGCGATGAAGTACCTAGGACTCGTCCTCGACAGTCGGTGGAACTTCATAGAGCATTTCCGACGTTTGGCTCCAAAGTTGGAGAGGACGGGGGCTGCGTTCAAACGCATCCTCCCCAACCTCGGGGGGCCAAACGCCTCCTGCCGGAGGTTATACGCCGGGGTCGTGCGGTCCATGGCCCTCTACGGCGCCCCT